CCCTCTGCTGGCACTGAGTGCCATACGGCCGGTGAGGGAGATCTTTGATCTCCTCAACAGCTCGAGAGGGTTTACAGCATGGCTGGCTCTGCATGGACCGCCAGGGGAGATGAAAGGATCTCCTCTGCCAGCCTTGGTCCATGGCCATCAAGGCCCACTGGAGAACCCACCACCACCCACCTAAAATCCCAAACCGCCCACTAGTGGGCGGTAGGGACCAGGTTGACTACCCCTAAATTAGACAAACCATATTCGGGAGATAGGATCTACTGACTGGGGGGAGCATTTGCTACTTAAGAGCCAGGGGGAGCGTTCATCGGTGTTCGTACAGGAACTCCCGAATGGAGACTGGCCACTGCCCTTGATTCTCTGGAACTCTTTTGGGGCATCACCTCGTGGCCTGCCAGTCAAAACTTCTCCCGAATAACGATTCCGTTCCACTAAACTGAAATGAGTGCTTTTAGGATATGTTAGGCACTCAGACACAGGCTCTTTGGGGATATAAGAATTGTGAGGTTGCGGTAATGCTTTATTATGTTTTTCCAGTGTTTTGTGATATTTTATGTTAGTCCCTGTAACTGAGAGATAATTGAGTTAGCATGTTTCCCAGCTCAATTATCTCTCAAACCCAGAGACTCTTGGGAAAAAAAACTGTAAACTTTGCTGTAGAGACCCCATACTATGGGGCTGTGCATAAAGAGGTGTGTGTGGGCTATTAAAGATCAGTTGACTCCCAAAACTGTGTGTCGTCCAGTTACTGAAGGAATGGGCTACAACCACTGAACAGCGGTTTTTTTCCAGCTCCAGAGGATTCCAGCGGAGATCTGGTATCTTAGGATTGCAGCTCCGCTACAAGACTATTTTACAGTTGATGTGTATATGATTGGTTTTAAAATAGTATAATACAATCCCAAAATAAAGTCTTTATGGTATAAAAAATATGTGATAAAGAAAATATTTGGAGAAGCAATCTGATGTCCTCACAGGTTCAGGTAAGTCTAGTGATTTCTAAAGACATGCATATGTAACTGCAATAATTACCTTGAAGGGTTAACTCCACCTCTAGTGGCTGTATGCCAGACTGCCAAGAGGGGGATACTGTGCGTATTATAGTGCTAGGAATACTTGGTATTCCTGGCACTATAGTATGCCTTTAAGGACATTCCTTTGTCCTTGTTGCAGGAGGATGGAGGTTAAGAGATTACCAATTAAAGGACCTCTCAGGAATTCTTCACTCTTAAAGAGGCACTGTAACCCCCATATTAAAAAGGAGTATGTCATAAAGATTGAATCTTTATGAAATACTCATCAAGACTCTGTTGGAGTTTCACTGAAAATCCAACCCAGTCATGAGATATACAGAGACAAAGTATGGACAGTGTCGCTTTAACCTTAGTCTCCAAGTCAAACCTTCTCCTAGTCTTCAGTCCAAGAAAGCATTAAAAACTTGTAAATTAGGATTCTTTCCTAAAGCAATCTATTGCCATCTCATATGACATAGCTTGTGCTAGCTCTTTTGTTACACCTTCTTACAATACTGCTACTGCACATACATTTGTATCATTATCAGTTTGCTAGACAAGGGCCCTCATCAATTTATTCACCTATATATCCTTGTCACATATATATATATATATATTTTTTGCAATAAGCTTGTAGAATGTCCTGCCAATCTAGAAATAATAAAATAATTATAATATAATTGAATATAAATATTTAAGCCCATAAAGTGCCTGAGGTTACATTAAAGGGATGCACAAAAAAGTGTATTTTATTTATATATAACTACAATTTATATCTTGGATTTATCCAATAGATTCGGCTTGACAGACAGAAGAGAAAATAGTTGATTGGACATAGATTTATTTACCTGCTTCCCATGAATTTGAAATAAAGGATGTGACTTGTGCATGAATGATCTGCAGCAGTGTGCAATTATGAGTTTATTAGCAACAGAACACAGGATTGCCAGATGGCTCCTGTAACTGCATCAAGAATCTTTTTGAGGGTTAGGGAGGCACACAGAGATCCCTGTTTCGTCAAGTTACAAACATATCTGATCAAGTCACATCTAGTTGCTATAACCAATATTCATGTAAAAGTATGATATGACAAGTGGTATTTTTCAAGTATAACACACGGAGTAGAGGATGCTTATAAATGTAAGGCAAGAAAAAATATATATATATCTGGAATAGGACATGCTGTTACCAGACCTGGATGCTATATGTGTGGTAACAAAGAAACAGTGTCCATATATAAAGGTACTGATTACATGATTATACTCACTTGTTCCTAATCAGTAAGGTAATTTTCAACCAACTTCCTTTTCCCAACCATTGCTTAATAATTACCTAGATAACATTAGACCTCACACACTGTAGAGTATCTGTAGAGAAACGATAGCTGCTGACAACCTGTGTTGTTGGTGGCCATCACAGCTCCCCAGACATTTCATATACTCTATTTATAGCAGCACAACAGAGTAAATATTTAATTTAGTTAATGTTTTTATACACCAGAGACAGAGGAGTATCAACAAGTCAGGACAGTGCAGAAACAGGGGGACATTATATATACACTGAACAAAATTATAAACGCAACACTTTTTTTTTTTTTTTTTTGGTTATGAAAACCGATTGTTGCAGCAGTTGTACGGGTGGCTGGTCTCAGACGATATTGGAGGTGAAGATGCTGGTTGTGGAGGTCCTGGGATGGTGTGGTTACATATGGTCTTCGGTTGTGTGGCCGGTTGGATTTACTGCCAAATTCTCTGAAACGCCTTTGGAGACAGCTTATAGTAGAGAAATGAACATTTAATTTACGGGCAACAGCTCTGGTGGACATTCCTGCAGTCAGCATGCCAATTGCACGCTCCCTGAAAACTTGCGACATCTGTTGCATTGTGCTGTGTGATAAAATTGCACATTTTGGAGTGGCCTTTTATTGTGGCCAGCCTATGGCACACCTTTGCAATAATCATGCTGTCTAATCAGCATCTTGATATGCCAAACTTGTGAGGTGGATGGATTATCTCGGCAAAGGAGAAGTGCTCACTATTACAGATTTAGACAGATTTGTGAACAATATTTGAGAGAAATAGGCCTTTTGTGTACATAGAAAAAGTCTTAGATCTTTGAGTTCAGCTCATGGAAAATGGGGGCAAAAACAAAAGTGTTGCCTTTATAATTTTGTTCAGTGTATATAAGGCAGACAGAGGGTATTCATCTAATAGGAGCCTGGGAGAGTTGTATTATCTCTGGAAATTTCACTAATGGTCATTAGGGTTTATTCATTAAAATTGTGGAGATTTAACAAGAAAATCAGAAGTTCTGGCTCTGGGGGAGATTTTGACACAGTTAGTGTTGCAGGATAAGTTAACACTCTCACAAAACATAATTGGCCTAATGTTTCTCTAGTCAAATTTGCTGCAACAAATTCAGTCTTTTTAAAGTAACTTATTAGGCTGTGATTTCATGGCTGAAAATTCATTTTTACAGCCCATCATAAAATATTCTGAATTTATTTGGATAAATGTGATTAATTTGAATTAAGCTTACTATTGTGTACTGAAATAGTCAGACCCTATTTGGCTATTTATGATTTTTTTACAATGAGGGTTTGCACCATATTTATCAAATCATTTAAATGTTCCAGATCTAATTCTTTTTTCTTGAATAAAATAAGTTTGCTAATGCCAAACCCAAAGTTATGTGCCTTGTTATTAGTAATCCCTTTGTTTAACTGTACTCTTTGAAGTTCAAGCGAGACATTAGAAGATGTAAGGGTTTGATGTTTGGTGGAGATCCATCGTTTTGAAGCATTATTAATTTTAGTTTCCTGAAAGGGACAGGAAACAGATTTGCTTTTTTGTCTTTTAATGTAGTAGACCTGTCTAACTCCACATTGCCCAGCTTCCCCAATTGAGCTGCAAGAAAGTATACTTCTGTTTTAAATAACATTTTCCTTCTGTTGTGCTTTGTCCTCTTCCATCAAGCTTTGTTCTGGTGTGACTATTGAACTTTTATAAGCATTGCCAAGTTTTTACAAGTTCCTTATGTTTATTGGGCTTTTAGAATAATTTTGTCTGATGTCGTTAATGAGATTCTGGTGTAGTATTGCAAGATATCGGCCCATCTTTACAGAGGTAATCTCACCTTCAGAATGAATATTTTTGCTAATCTGACTTTTAAAAAGTTCTACCTAAAACATTAGGACGGCTGAGCATGATAACAAGAAATTCAGTTAAATTCATTTAAAAGTAACAAATAGTTTTTTTACTTAAAAAAAAAAAGCTTTTAGTTTATGTGTTATTACAATATAATTTTTTTATCATTTGAAGAATGGGTGTTGATGTATAACAAACTGATTTTGGCTCATTTGAGTTAAGTAGTCTATTGAGAAATATACTAAAAAGAATGAGATCACACATCTGCTAACTGGATTGCCCCAGCAGTCATACTTGTAATGGCATAGTGTCCAGTCTATAGTGATAGTTATTGTAAGGACACATTGAACATCTTACAGGAGATTCAATGGCAGGACCAATATGTTTTAGTTACAGCGGACGTATGTTCGCTATATACTATCATGGCCCATGAAAAAGGCTGTGAGGCAACAAAATATTTTTTAACCAAATCTAAATTATTCAAACAAGAACAGAAAGATTTTATAATTTAGGGCATTTTATTGATCTTAACAAATAATTATTCCTGGATTAATGAGGAATTGTATCTCCAAATTTGTGGTACGGCGATGGGGACCCGATTCACACCCAGTTATGCCAATTTACTTATGGCAGATTCAGAACGGAGATTCATTCACCGAGGGCATGACTGGGTGGGTAACCTGGTCACCTATCGCCGTTACATAGATGATCTATTTTTTATTTGGAATGACCCGGAAGAACAACTCAGAGATTTTTAAAGTTATTTATTTATTTTTAAAAATTCTTTATTTTTGTAGTGCAGAAACATGTAACAGTCGCGTGTGAGGTACCCCAAAGGCAATCCTCCAGCGTTTCAAATTTATATATTACATTGGGGTAGATGAGAAACATGCACATTTTTGGTATTATTAGGAAAAGGTTAATACAATACGTTGCATACAAGTTTGGTCAATTATGTCCTGTCGATTAGGTCTGCAAAATTTTAACAACAACAGTGAGGAGTGCGTTAGATCATGCTTAACCTGTCCTGTTGATTAGGTCGGCAGAATTTTAACATCAACTGTGAGGCTTTAATGCAAACCAGCTGAACTAGTAGTGCGTTAGATCATGCTTTTATGTCACAGTGACAATTTCAAATTTTTATATTATAAACTGGCTTAAACTTTCTGACATGTCTCAGAATTAAAGAGTTGGGATTCAGGATTAAGAGGACATGCGTGCGTTCAGATTTGAGTAAGTAAGCTTAAAACATGTATAGAGAACGGTAAGCATATCTCCATGGACATAGTATAAACACGCATAACCGATATTGCTGAAGGAATAGAGATGGGTTATCTAGCGGTAGTTAAATTGGGCTTGTGTGATATCGACAGATGACGTTACAGAATGCAAGTTATAGGTTGCGAGCTAGGTATCACGGTTATGCTAATTGCTATTCATAGCTGGATTAACCCTGAGTGTCTCATGCTGTAGAAGACAGATGTATAGGATGTAGTTTATACAGAGACATCACAGCCTGAGGGACGTGATGGCTGGCTAAATTATATCATGGTCAGCAGATTAAGAAGGACCAATGCAATATAAGTGAACACATGCATAGAAAAGTGAGATCTGCCTCATTGTGAGGCATCAGGACATATATAGCCAGCGTCCATGTATGACTGGGTAGCATCCTTTTATGGATGTCGGGAATGGGACCGCCCGTGGGCTAGTGGGTAACCCTATTCCTCCAGGGGGAATCTGTTCCGGCAGCACTGGGTAATTGCTGGTGTTGGCAGACAGCCAGGAGCAAGCCGTTCTTCCCTCCAACTCCGGGTCTGCTGTAAGGCCAGCATCATGTAGCCACAGACTCGGGGATTTCTGAAGACCAGGTCTTTCCCTGCTGGGACAGGTCTGGGGGCTTTGGTGTTGTTGTGCTGCCTGCGGTGGGTAGGCCTCCGCCTGCGTGGAAGATGCGTTTTTCCCCTGATGGCCTTTGACCCAGATGGGCTAGTGTGGAGACTTGCGGACTGCTTAGTCGAGGTGGTGCCCAACGGTGTCCCAGCCTCTCTGCCGCCGCTCTGGTTTCCCTGTGTGCTCCAGCTCTCCTGCAGCTGCGTCTGTGGAACAGCGTGTCGAGCTTCAATCCGTGCCCAGAAGTTATCAAACAACTTGTTCCAGAGGGCGATTAGAGGCTCGTTTGTGCTGTAATGGTACTCCGGAGGCACAGAGACCACGTTGGACTGCGCGTCCGCCATTTTAGAGTGGCGAGTGGCCTGCAGGTATGGTACATGATTGGGGCTCGTGCCAGCGTTTGGGGTCCACGGAGGTATATGGATTGGGACAATTGGGACCGGGATAACCCCCGCCGGTCCTGAGGGGGGGAAGCTGAGTACCATGGATGCTGTGTGCGTTGATGGGCCGGGAGAGCGGCCGCCTCGCCCCTGCTCTGCATAGTGTAGGCCCCAGGCCTCGGCCCAGCCAATTCAGCGGGCCTTTTGGGTATGCGAGGTATCCCCCGATTCACCAGCTTCTGTGTAGCAAGATGCGGTAGGTTGGGGTTCAAGATGAGGCGATTTGCCCACGATTACAGCCGATAATTAGTGATGTCGCGAATGGCGAACGCGAACTTCCGCAAATGTTCGCGAACCGGCGAACCGGGCGAACCGCCATAGACTTCAATGGGCAGGCAAATTTTAAAACACACAGGGACTCTTTCTGGCCACAATAGTGATGGAAAAGTTGTTTCAAGGGGACTAACACCTGGACTGTGGCATGCCGGAGGGGGATCCATGTCAAAACTCCCATGGAAAATTACACAGTTGATGCAGAGTCTGGTCTTAATCCATAAAGGGCATAAATCACCTAACATTCCTAAATCACAATGGATCTGGATTGACACCTGACATATGACATATTGACACATTGACATATGGATTCACACCTGTCCTCAGAGACCCTGATACACACTGACACAGAGCAGAATAGGGACTGTTCCCCCTACATAGGGTCACTTGGCAGGTATGGATTGACACCTATCCTCAGGATCCCTGATACACACTGACATAGAGCAGAATAGGGAATGTTCCCCCTACATAGGGTCACTTGGCAGATGTGGATTGACACCTATCCTAAGGATCCCTGATACACACTGACACAGAGCAGAATAGGGAATATTCACTAAATACCAAACATTGTTATACAGGGGAATATTCAGTAAATAAGGATAAGGGGGGACCTACTGTCTTCCACCCCGGCCCCCACCCCTGCACGGTGGGTGGGGTCCATAAATCTTAATGGGGGGGGACCTACTGTCCTCCCGTCCACCCCCACCCGTGAGCGGTGGGTGGGGGCCATAAAAATAATGAGGGGGGGACCTACTGTATGATGTTGTATCGATCAGGTAGTGTAAGGGTTACGCCCGCTTCACAGTGACAGACCAAACTCCCTGTTTAACGCACCGCAAACAACCGCAAACAGTCCATTTGCACAACCGCAAACTCCCCATTTGCACAAGGTTGGATACCAAGCTAGCCATGTCCCGTTCCTTGTCCTCACTGATGTCATTGAAGGTCTCTTCCTCCACCCAGCCACGTACAACACCAAGGGTCCCCGAAAGGTGACAACAAGCCCCCTGGGACACCTGCTGTGTTTGGTCTTCCACCTCCTCAAAGCCACCTTCCTCCTCTGACTCCTCTTCTTCAGACTCCTCTCTCTGCGTTGCCTCTCTCTGCATTATTATAAGGTGTGTTAAGTAGTATTATTCCTATCAGTTTAATCCCTGTTACGTCCCCTATCAGGGGACGTGTATATGGCATCGATTTTAGGAACCGGGAGATGGAAAAAGATGCTTGGTCGGTCCTCCTACTTCAAATTTGGGGCACTGCGCGTGCAATCTAATGTGCCACCAGATAGGAGTGGTGTGTTAAGTAGTACTATTCTTATCAGTTTAATCCCTGTTACGTCCCCTATCCGCTGATGTGGAGCAAGACGCAGCAGCAGAAGAGGACTCAGCCGAGGAGGTTATGGAAGAGGATGGAGTAGGAGGGAGAGAGGAGGTGGCAGCAGGCCTGCCTGCAAGTCGTGGCGGTGTCACCAACTTCTCTGCAGAGCCACGCATTCCATGCTTGGCAGCCGTCCAGCAGGTTTACCCAATGCGCAGTGTAGGGGTGGCCTGCCTCTGCCTGTCATTTTTTTTTCGACAGTGGTACAGGCGTGCTAACCACTGTGACACCAGATATGAGTGGCACTGTGAACTGGCAGAGGTTGGCAGAGTACACGCTGTAGGGCTGACACACCCGCTTGAAGACAACTAACTGCTATTCAAAACGTTTTTTGATTTTTAAATGCACGCTATTGTGACACCAGATAAGAGTGGCACTGTGAACTGGCAGAGTATACGCTGTAGGGCTGACACACCCGCTTTGAGACAACTAACTGCTATTCAATCTATAACAGTGAAAAAAGTTTTTGGGTTTTTAAATGCAAGCTATTGTGACACCAGTGAGTGAGTGGTGGCACTGACTGGGCAAATGGGCACAGTATCCACTGTGAGCCTGACACAGAAGCTGGCAGCAGTGGCAGACAACCAACTGCTATTCAATCTATAACAGTGAAAAAAGTTTTTTGTTTTTAAATGCAAGCTATTGTGACACCAGTGAGTGAGTGGTGGCACTGGGCACAGTATACGTTGCGAGCCTGACACACAGACGCTTACAGACAACTAACTTCTATTCAATCTTTAACAGTGAAAAAAGTTTTTTGGTTTTTAAATGCACGCTATTGTGACACCAGTGAGTGAGTGGTGGCACTGGGCAAGTGGGCACAGTATACGCTGCGAGCCTGACACACAGATGCTTGCAGACAACTAACTGCTATTCAATCTATTACAGTGAAAACTATTTTTTTTAAATGCAAGCTATTGTGACACCAGTGAGTGAGTGGTGGCACTGGGCAAGTGGGCACAGTATACGCTGCGAGCCTGACACACAGACGCTTGCAGACAACTAACTGCTATTCAATCTATAACAGTGAAAAAAGTTTTTGGGTTTTTAAATGCACGCTATTGTGGCACCAGTGAGTGAGTGGTGGCACTAGGCAAGTGGCCACAGTATACGCTGCGAGCCTGACACACAGATGCTTGCAGACAACTAACTGCTATTCAATCTATTACAGTGAAAACTATTTTTTTTTAAAAGCAAGCTATTGTGACACCAGTGAGTGAGTGGTGGCACTGGGCAAGTGGGCACAGTATACGCTGCGAGCCTGACACACAGACGCTTGCAGACAACTAACTGCTATTCAATCTATAACAGTGAAAAAAGTTTTTGGGTTTTTAAATGCACGCTATTGTGGCACCAGTGAGTGAGTGGTGGCACTAGGCAAGTGGGCACAGTATACGCTGCGAGCCTGACACACAGATGCTTGCAGACAACTAACTGCTATTCAATCTATTACAGTGAAAACTATTTTTTTTTTTTAAATGCAAGCTATTGTGACACCAGTGAGTGAGTGGTGGCACTGGGCAAGTGGGCACAGTACACAGAAGCTGTCAGGCAACTGCAATTACATTACACACAAAAAAAAAAAAAAGCAGACTGATGTTATAGCCCTAGAAAGTGCTTTTTGGGGTGCTGTCCTTACAGCAGAGATCAGATGAGTCCTTCAGGACTGTAGTGGACACTGTATACACTAACCTAGCTATCCATTTCCCTATCAAATCAATAGCAGCTACACTTTCCCTCCTCTCACTAAGCATGCAGCTTGAGAATGAATCTAAAATGGATGCTGTCCAGTAGGTGGGAGGGTCTGCTAGGGAGGGTGTGCTGCTAATTGGCTGGAATGTGTCTGCTGACTGTGAGGTACAGGGTCAAAGGTTACTCAATGATGACGAATAGGGGGCGGATCGAACTGCGCATATGTTCGCCCGCCGTGGCGAACGCGAACATGCTATGTTCGCCAGGAACTATTCGCCAGCGAACCGTTCGGTGCATCACTACCGTTAATCAGGCCCAGGCTCGGGAGCTCACAGATAGTGTGTCTGCTCAGCTCCACAGTCAGGCTCCGTCCCCCCTTTTCAAAGTTATTTAAATGAAAATGATTGGGGTATAAGCCTCACATCTAATTTCAGCCAAAGATCGGTTGATT